GATAGAGAGAGACAGAGAGACAGAAAGCAAGAAATCACCCCCCAGGGGGGATGGTCACACCGCAATCCCTTCTCCATTCTCCTCTCGGGATCTTGGGCACACACGCACACGCCCGGCGCCCGGCGTGAGTTTTAAGCCACCGGGTCCGGGACGCCAATAGCGGTCGACTACCTGGGAGTCCAGCGACATAGCCATTATGCTAACTGCTGGTTCCCTGTGCTTAATTTTTAAGATACCTTCCCATACCCGTGTAAGATTTACTTCATTTGACCAGCTGAATGTTTTTTTCTGACTCAGAACGAGTGTGCTAGACAAGCCGTGCGGGTCTGAATGTACCTGGGCACTGCGATCACTGCTTTCTCTTCCTTGTAGCCATCCAGGCAGGTCGCTGCTACTCCCATGGGTCACATGAAACAGATGAGGAATTTGATGCTCGCTGGGTGACATACTTCAACAAGCCGGACATAGATGCCTGGGAACTGCGCAAAGGTGAGTAGAACGGAGATGGGCCTGTCTGTTCCAGTTTATAACCACAAACTGCCTCCACTTTGTCGGAAAAGACATGTGTCACGTGAACTGGTTACCGTCATGAAATTTGGTGTTAGAAAGGTAGGGATTCCGAGTAGTTCCTACACAGCAGAATTTTAAAGCAGGCACTATCGACAATGTGAGCTAGATCTTTTTACGTCTCAGTTTTTGTTCATATCGAGAGAGGGCCCAGCCTGAGCCATGGTGGTTAAGGCCTCTGGATCCCACTTGGCCAGCCCCACAGTTCAAGTCCCGGACACTGCAGTTTGAGAAAACCTCTGGACGTGCGAGCCCAGACTCCCAAGAGGGAGACGTGGAGGGATTGCAGTGTGACCATTCCCCACGAGGGGTGCGTTCCCACTTTCTCTTTGTCTCCAGTGACCATGTGCACTTCTGGCAAATTAAAAAGAGAGACAGAGACAGGCACCCTCGATGGAATTTCATGCCACAGTCCTGCCCCAAGCCCTGCAGCCAGCCAGGACAACAGTGTTCCCGAAAGCAAGCCTGGAGGCCTCCTTGGTGGCTCCAGGATTGGGCCGCAGTGCCCTGCTACTGTCTGTGCTGGCGCTCTGGGCCTGGGCCAGGTAGGTGGGGGCAGCTGAGCATGTCCTTGGGCCCTGCCCACTCAACGGAGTACCTACTTCTCCACAGTCGCTGCTGCCAGAGATGTCTCCAGATGTTGTCCAATGTGCCCTGGGGACAGAGTCCCCCGATGGAAAGCCACTGCTGTGGCACAGGACGGAGCGAGAGCTAGCAGTTGTGCAGGACGTCCGTGCAGGCTGTCGTTTCCTCTCCTCTGGGTCACGGTTCTGAATTATCTTTCCCTGAAAAAATGTCCAGTCTAAGTATGCTAGAACTTTTTTCCCCTAAATTCACAGATGCACATTTGCTAAGAATAAGTAGAATTTAACTCGTCGCGATTTTTAGGTGGGAGATAATTTATCTCAGACAAGAATTCAGTCTCTTTAGCTGTATTTTAGCATCATATTGACTAGTGTCCCTTGTTTAAATATTTTAAATGCTAAAAGTAAGAAACCTATGCGCTTTAAACTGTGCAGAAATAATGTAATACCTTCCTTTTGCTGTGACTGGGGGAATTCTTACTGAATAAGCTTGAGTACAAGTAATGAAAAAAATAGCAATTCTGCATTCCCATTAAGAGAGTATTAAGTTTTATGATGTGTCATTTTGCAAAGATCTGAAAGTAAGCATGCCCAATCATTGTCTGGTTATGAATGTTTATGAGTCCTCATTGGCATGTCTCGATAATTTCTCTTTAAAGTCCTCATTCGGGATTCATTATTTCTTCATGAGCATTTCTTTAGTGTTTTTAGGTTTATTTTCCAATCAAACTTTTTTTTAATTCATATTCTTTTCTCTTTTTTTTAGAATTTTTTTTTGCAGGGAGGGGTTTTTGTTATAGGGCACATGCGCTTGCCAGAAAGACAGAGACAGACAAAAAGCAGGAAATCACCCCCAGGGGGTATGGCCACACTGCAATCCTTTCTCCTCCATATTGGGCACACTCGCACGTGTGCCTGGCATGAGTCTAACCCACCAGGTCCGGGACTCGAATCATGGTTGACTACATGGGAGTCCAGTAACAGCCATTACGCCAACTGCTGGTCCCAAGAATCATTTTTATTTAACTTTATTTTTTTTTTTAATTTGACCACAGAGGGACAGAGCGAGAAAGGAAGAAAGTAAGCCTTCCGGTCTGGAAACTGAACCGTGGTCGGCCCTGTGGGAATCCAGCATCCCAATCACCATGCCACCTGCTGGCCCCCTAGTCAAACTTCTAAGCACCCAAAAATACACGTATTATACTAAGAGTTAGTACAATATGTGAGGCGGCTGGATCCTGAATGGCTGACTGTAGTGTTCGATTCCCAGACCTGGCAGCTTGAAAACCACGCCAGGATGTGTACATGCCTCTGTGCCCACAATCCCCAAAGGAGGAAGGAACAGAAGAGAAGTGATTGCGGTGTGACCACCTCCTGTAGGACGGCCTTCTCACTGAATCTCATTCTCTGGGAAGCGTATGTCCTGGCCTGTTTTGTTTTTCATTTGCTGTAGGCACACGCACTCACCTGAGAGCTAAGTGAAAAAGCACACCCTGGTGGGGTGGCCACGCGCACTCCCTCCATTCTGCTCTCGGGACTTTGAGCACGCAGTCACACGGGTCCAGTGTGTTTTCCAAGCCACAGTCTGTCTGGTGGGAGCCAGCTGCCTTCATCACACTACTGGCTGGCCTTCCCGCTGACTGACTGAAGAAAAAGAAGATAAAAGCTGCAATTGACCTTATTGTTTGAAAATAAACCAGCTCATTATTATGTAAATAGTGTTTGCATTTAAGAAAATGTTTAGATTTTTCCTGCAGGCTGCGTGCGGTGCGTAGTTCTTACTTTCCACTCGTCCCCTGTGGGAGAGCTACTGTGGTCTCACCATCTAGAATTTCATTCTATAGATAGGAGAGTAACGGCCCACACAGGTAGGACCACAGGCCTCCGAGTCAGTAAAACAGAAACAAGTGAATTGTAGTTTAAATGAGGATATTTCAAGGTGCCATGTCCTTTCTTTTCAATTTGGCAGGGATGAACACGCTGGTTGGCTATGATCTGGTTCCAGAACCCAAAATCATTGATGCTGCCTTGCGGGCGTGCAGACGGTTAAATGATTTTGCCAGTGCAGTTCGCATCCTAGAAGTTGTTAAGGTCAGTGAAATAACGGCGCGAAAATTGTTCCAGACGTGGGTGGGCTGTTGATTGGGGATCAGCAAATTCTGATCTTTTTTTTTTTTTTTTTTTTTTTTTTTTTGAGGGGTTTTTAAGGGGGGGTTTTTTATTTTGCCAGACAGACAGAAAGAGACATAGAGACAGAAAGCGAGAAATCACCCCCCGGGGGGATGGTCACGCCGCAATCCCTTCTCCTCCATTCTCCTCTCGGGATCTTGGGCACGCACGCACACGCGCCCGGCGTGTTTTTTAAGCCACTGGGTCTGGGACGTGAACCGCGGTCGACTACGTGGGAGTCCAGCGACATAGCCATTACGCTAACTGCTGGTTCCCAAGCAAATTCTGATCTTGACTGAGTGAAAATACCTAAAATTTGTAGTTTGTCTAGCTAGAGGGAATATACTTTATAGTTACAGTCTTTTTTTTTTTAATAATTATTTTATTTAACTCTATTTATTTTTTCATTTGACCAAAGAGGGACAGAGTGAGAGAGAAAGAAGGAAATTGAGAAAACAAGTCGCCAGGTCTAGGACTTGAACCACAGTCAGCCATGTGGGAGTCTAACACCCTTAACAACCACGCCACCTACCGGCCCTGGTTACAGTCTTTGTAGAGAACGGTTCCAGTGATTCTAGGCTTGTTTTTTTTGTTTTTTGTTTTTTTTTTTCTTTCTGATTTAATCTAATAGTCTTAGTTATTCTCAAGGTATTTTAAAACCTGCCTTGATGGGACCAGCAAGTAGCATAATGGTTATGTCGCTGGACTCCCACGTAGTCAACTGCAGTTCGAGTCTCAGACCCGGTGGCTTAAAGCTCATACTGGGCGTGTGCACCTAAAATCCTGAGAGGAGATTGGACAAGGGATTGTGGCACAGCCATCCCTCCTGGGGAGTGATTCTCACTTTCTGTCTCTCTGTCTCTCCGGTATAGGGCACGTGTCCTATACCAAAAATCTCTCTTAAACAAACAAAAACCTACTTTGAACAGTGCCTATGTAAGTTGCCCTCTTCATTGAATAAATGTGTGTTAACTTAAAGTAGATAACCTGTATTAATTCGATCCTACTAACCTCAGCATATATGATTACAAGCTTTTAGAATTTGTTTTGTTAATAGAGACAGCCTTTCAGGAAGTTAAGTGTGAATATTCTTTTTATCATCAGGACAAAGCAGGACCACATAAGGAAATCTACCCCTATGTCATCCAGGAACTTAGGCCAACTTTAAATGAATTGGGCATCTCCACTCCAGAGGAACTGGGTCTTGACAAAGCGTAAAAGCCCACGGGTAAGCAGCACACCACTGACCACGGCGAGGGCTTGGGGGAGTGGGCAGGGCGATGACATCACGATGCTCTCGGGGTAAGGACGTGTGATGTTCTCCTTCGAGGTAGTGGCTGCGAGCATTAAAGTTAGGGAGTAGGCCCAGCCCCGGGACTCCAACCCAAGTCAGCCATGTGGGAGCCAGCACCATTACCGCCATGCCCCAAAGGGTTTTAGGGGCATGACCTCTAAAGGATTTTTCGTTGTGCTTTTTTATTTTTTATGTTTTCTTAAGGGCGTTTTTACTAAAGATTTCTACCTTTTCTATATTCTTTACTGGCTAATTCTTTGTGTTTCTCTTACAGATGGGCTTCTCAAGGATTTATTGCTGTTGCTACTTGATTGTAAACAGTCCCCTGGAAATACTGATGATAACATATTACCTTATTTGAACAAGTTTTCCTTTATTGAGGCCATAAAATGGGAACTTGGACTTTAATAAAAGGAAAATGAGTTTGAACTGAAACTGGGTATTGTCCCGTGTGTCTGCAGTGAGCGGCAGAAAGTGGCGCGCTGTGGTTGGGGTTGGGGTTGGGGTTACGTGGTGAGAGACCTGGCTCTCTGGAAGCCAGCCAGCAGGGAGGTCAGTTTTGTCAGCACAGTTGGGTGCTCTGGCTGGAAGGTTAGCTGAAATGAGAAGGCGTTTGTATAGAATGGTCTCACTGACAAGGCCAGCAAGCACCGTGGGCTTAGAGGACTGACGGACTGTGGGAATAGATCAAATCAAGTTCTTCCCCAAAGCAGGCGAAACACTGTTTTCAAAAAGTGGTCTTCTTGGGAACCAGCAGTTAGCATAATGGCTATGTTGCTGGACTCCTACGTAGTCGACCGCGGTTCATGTCCCGGACCCGGTGGCTTAAAACTCACACCCGGCGCGTGTGCGTGCGTGCCCAAGATCCCGAGAGGAGAATGGAGGAGAAGGGATTGCGGCGTGACCATCCCCCCTGGGGGGTGATTTCTCGCTTTCTGTCTCTATGTCTCTCTCTCTGTCTGGCGAGCGCACGCGCCCTACAGTGAAAATCTCTCCACAAAAAAAAAAAAGCGGTCTTCTTCCCCCCCCCAAAAAAGAATTATTTATTTAATTCCATTTGTTATTATTATAATTATCATTATTTTAATTTGACCAGAGAGAGAGAAAGGGAAAAGCAAGAAAGCAAGCTGCCAGGTCTAGGACCCAAACCACGATCAGCGATGTGGGAATCTCGCACCCTTAACCACCATGCCACCTGGTGGCCCTGAAGGTGGTGGTTAAAGAACCAAGTACTGGGGCCAGCAGCTGGCGTGGTGCTTAAGGTGGTGGACTCCCACATGGTTGACCATGGTTCAAGTCCTGGACCTGATGGCTTACTTTCTCACTTTCTCTCTTCTCCTCTTTCTCTGGTCAAATAAATAATATTATATAAATAATTCTTTAAAAGAAAAAAAAAGAACTGAGTACATGGGTTTACCTGCTCGAGAGAATAAAACATACAAATTCTGCCTTCCAGTTAGAAGCTCCATGCTGCTGGAAACCGGCTGCTGGATAGAGGTCCCGGACTGGGTACCTTTTAGGATAGCCGGCCCAGACTGCAGTTGCAGGAGGGTAGGGTAATATTAGGTTGAAATTTATTTTGCCACAGTATGTGTGTGTTGTGTGGGGGCAGGGGAACAAACATGTCCACCAGTGGGCCCTGGCATGCTCAGAATGTTTCCAAGCCACTGTCAAGGCTATGATTTGAACCACTACTGGCCATAAGGAATCTGGCTGGCTCCTTTAAACACAGCCCTAGGATAAAATTTACATGTCTTTTCTTTAGAAAAGACATGAAAGAAATTGCAAGGGGACCAGCAGTTGGCGTAATGGCCGTGTCGCTGGACTCCGATCTAGTTGACTGCAGTTCAAGTCCCGGACCCGGTTGGTGGCTTAAACTCACACCGGGCGTGTGTGCATGCGTGCCCAAGATCCCGAGAGGAGAATGGAGAAGGGATTGCGGCGTGGCCATCCCCCGGGGGTGATTTTTCATTTTCTGTCTCTGGCGAGTGCACATGCCCTATATAACATAAACCTCTTCAAAAAAAAATTGCCAGTAAAATCACTGTTTTTAAAGGAATTATTTCTTTGATACTATGTTTAAAATTTACTATAGGCCACCTGTGCTCATCAGAGAGGGATAGAAAGCAAGCCACCACCAGTCCAGCACGTTGATCATGACGCCACCTGCTGGCCCAGTAAAATAAATTGATAAGGTTTTAAATGCCAACTGACCTTTTATAAAGGCTGATTCCCTACCAGAAACCCTCTCCCCCTTTTGTTTTTTCTTCTCTTATACTTTTTGCTATTGGGCACCTGTGCTCCCAGGCGGGGGTGAGGTGGGTGCGGGGAATGGGAGTGAGCAATCACCCACTAGGGGAGAAAAGATCTCACTGTATTGTCCAGGAATTCTCAATCCTGCCTCAACCTCCCAAGTATCTAGAATTACAGGCATGTGCCACTGTCTTTGGAGCCCTTAATATTGAAATGGACCTTGAATTCTACAGAATACTCTGAACTGCTTTTCTTTCTCACACTTCGTAATTTAACTCACAACTCGATTAGGTAGGTTCTGTTATCCTGTTTACCAGCTACAGAAACACGGGAAGTGGTCCAATTATTTGCCTCTAAACGGCATGGCAAATAATCTGGCAGATGGCGGCACTGGAGGTGGAAGAGCCAGGAGGGTCATGTATGACTTCTCAAAATCATTTTTAAGTTTACTCATTTATATCTTCTGAAAGAGAAGTACCCCAACAAGGTCTTCACTCCAGTCCACCCCTCCCCTCAGCCTCCGCCCTAATCACCCACAGGCACATGCACCCCTCCAGGAGCCCGGGAGTGTAAACCAGGAGAGGATGGGGGGCTTCCCTAGGTGGGTCCACTGGCATCACAGCTGAGTCACCGTCTTGCCCCCTACTGTGACTCCGTCTCAAGTTTATGGTGATCCTGTGACATCAACAACTTTTTTTTTTTTCATCATATTTGGGCCCTTGGTAAGAGCCCATCAGTTTAACAGGCAGCATAACTAGGAGAGCACCACTTTGCAGTCTACAGGAAAACGAATTGAAGTTCCAGGTTTACGGCTGGACTCCCTCATGGCCAACCATGAGTAAGTCCTGGACCTGGTGGCTTCCTTTCTCACTTTCCCTCTCTCCCTGTCTCTCTGGTCAAATTGGAAAATAATAATAAATAACGCTAAAATAGTTCTTTAAAAAATAAATTCCATGTTTACCACGTAACTGGCTAACTGGCCTCATGTGCATGGCAGTGAACTACCTGTTCTTTGGGAGATTATAAGGATTAAATACTGAGCCACACTATTTAGAAACTGTTTTTAGAGATCAAAAACAGTCTCCTGGGTCGGGGAGACAATAGGGATAGTAAGATTCCTTGCACTTTTATCTTTCAAAAACTCCAGTCCTAAATTCTTTTCTCATATCCCAAGGCATAGTTCCACCCAGCGGTTGGGTGGCCGGGAGCTGCGGTTGCGTGCTGTTGACCTGCCCTGTGGAGGTCAATAAATTAGCCTTGGGACAGCCTCAAGAGAACTGGCCATCCCAGTCAGGCCCTAGAGCTTACTTCCAGCCAGACACAAGCACATCCCATGGGGGCCAGAAAAGTCAAGAGCCTCGACACAGCGCCATACCCTGCCACACACAGGCTCTGCGTTTTCACCGTCCTCCCGAGCCCACGTTTGACTGGTTGTCACTGCAGGGCTGGTAGTGGCTTTGGTTCCACTTTAAAACGTGGAAGCTCGGGTCTGGTCTAAGGGGGGTTGTAAAGAGAGTCTGGGGGTCAAGACGATCAGCCCAGACTGCCTTTGGCTGTCTCACCTTCATAAAGTCCCCGAACCTCACGTCTGCTTCCTTTGCTGGAGGAGGGCGCCCACACCTTGCGAGTACATCTCAAACCCTCGCGAGTACGCCCTCGGGGAGTTCCAGCGAGGAGCGCGGAGAGCGCGTGCGCAACGGCTGGCGCCGGGCCAGCGCAAACCGCGGCCAATACCAATGCTCTCTTTCGATTGGCGACGGACCCGAGAGTTTACATCAGGTTTTGGCTGACTACAAGTTCTGCAGCGAGCCCAAAATGCGGGACTGAAACTGCAGCCACCCCACACACACCCGGAAGGGCGGAACGGTTGAGCAAACCCCCTAGCAGGGGAGGCCGGAAACCTCCGACGGGCGTACGGCCAGCACCTGCGCGCCGCCATCTTGCTCCAGGAGAGCCCGCCCCCTCCAGGCCGACGCTTGTTCAGCCGCGGGGCGGGGCCGTACAGATTTTGGCTGAGAAACTACATACTTATCTTAGAAAGTAAGCTACATTTCTAAACGCCAACTGTAATAGGGCCCGTACATGGTGACGCGCGCACCCTCCATTCAGGCCAAGCTGCGTGAGTGTGGCCCAACTGGGGTGGTCGCTGCCCGGGATCTCCTTGGAGACCCGCCGGGCCTTGTCCCTGGAGGGCAGAGCTCAGGTGCCCCCCACCCCCACCCCCCGCTCCGGAAGATCTGCCCCGAGACTGCGGTCTCCCCGCGTGCGGGAGACGCGTCGGCGCCGGGGAGACCCGCTGACCCGCACCTTTCCCTTCCAGAGAAGCACCGGGACCTGGCCAAAGCCGTGCTGCGGAGAAAAGGCATGCTGGGGGCCTCGCCGCGCCCCGACTCTGCAGGGAAAAGGTCTCCGCGGGCCTCCTCTGCAGGCAGCGTGCAGAGAGGCCCTGTCCCTGGGGCTGGGAGGCAGTGCCCATGCTGGAGGCTGAGCTAGTTAGTGATCCCTGGGGCCCGTCAGGTCCACTGTCAAGAAAACGGGAAGAACACCTTCCTCTTTGCTTTGAGGGAGTGTCAGTATCTGCGGAAGGACTTTGGAACACCGCAGCTCTCTCAGGGCTCGCCAGGCTCGGGACCATCTGCCCAGTGTCTGAGTCGGGGAGGGGCATGGGGCTGGGGGCCCTAGGGATGAACGTGAGAGCAGCGTGGGGACAAAGAGGTAAGCTCAGCTGGCACCCAGGCCTGCTTTGACAGAGCGCAGGCATTCAGGGTAAGGGATTTGCCTGGGAACCTGCTGCTTTTCCACCCTCCTGTTAAAGATGGTGGGTGTGTGGGTTCCTTTACCTGATTCTTGAAAAGGGAGACATGCTTTTCCCCAGGGCGGAAGCAGTAAGTGTTCCCAGGAGCTGTCGCCGGCCTGTGCAGCTCCGACAGCATGAGGCAGTGCTCTGGGGTGGCAGCGAGTCAGGTACAGCAGGTCCTCCCCTGGGATGAGGACCCTGGCTTTCTGTGAGCTGCCAGGCCTTCATCTGTACTCGGTCTCACCTTCCCTTCTGCCCTCAGGTCAGTGAAGTTCAACAAGGGCTACACTGCTCTTAGCCAGAGCCCAGATGAAAACCTGGTGTCCCTCGACTCTGACAGGTGAGCGGGCCCCCTGGGAATCCCCGTGGAATAACTCAGGTTGAACTGCACATCGCTCAGAGCCTCTGCTTGTTCCCTGTCTCCTCCAAGCCCTTTGTGCCCCTTCCAGGGCACTCTCTTCTGAGCACTGCCCTCTCCCTGGGTGGCTTGGCTGGGAGCCTTGTGGGTGAGCATGCTGTCTTGGGTATGGTGCACCAGCGTCTGCCAGGGGAGCCATCTGCGTTAGTGACGGCGACCCTGTCCCTGCCCGAGCCGATCTAGGCAGCCGTTTGTGCTCATGGCAGCTCTTGGGCTTGGGTCTGGACATGTGCTCTCTGCTTCATGGTCCCCAGACCCCTTGCATGTTCTCTGCCTTGCCATCTGCAGCCGTGCTCCACAGGCGTTCCCATGAACTGACGGTCTTCCTCTTCTCCTAGTGATGGGGAGCTGGAATCCAGATACTCCTCCGGGTATTCCTCTGCAGAGGCAAGTCCAGGGCACCCTTCTGCGCGGGGCCAGGCTGCAGGCAGCACCACCGCTGCTGCCAGGCACTTGCGCAGTGCCTGCTGTATGCACCGCACTGTGCCAGACTTTGGTCTGTTCTCCGCTC